CATCATTCTCTGAGGAAAGAAATTTGGTGTCTGTACCACCACAATTTCTGATCAGTGAGTTTGGAAGGACTATGATGCCCCTCTTTTTTTTTTTTTTTTTGAAACGGAGTCTCCCTCTGTCACCCAGGCTGGAGTGCAGTGGCGCGATCTCAACTCACTGCAAGCTCCGCCTCCCAGATTCACGCCATTCTCCTTCCTCAGTCTGTCAAGTAGCTGGGACTAGAGGCGCCTGCCACCACGCCCAACTAATTTTTGTATTTTTAATAGAGACAGGGTTTCACCGTGTTAGCCAGGTTGGTCTCAATCTCCTGACCTCGTGATCTGCCTGCCTTGGGCTCCCAAAGTGCTGGGATTACAGGCGTGGGCCAACGCGCCCGGCTGATGCCCCTCTTAGCTATGAAAAATTCAGGGCACCTCTGTCATGGTTGTGTGTGAGACACTGAGTCCCAGACTTGGAGAAGTGGCCTGTTGCCGAGAACTCTCAGAAACCCATAATCCATAATCACATCAGCTCTGACCAGTGCGTTTGATTTCATAGATACAAACTGCAGCATCACCCACAGAGAGATGGAAGATTCTATTGCAATATAATCATTGTACTTCTATTTATAACAAGTACTGTATAACACTATATATTATGAAAAATAAAAGGGAATAGTTTCAATATTAAAAATAAAACACTTCATGAGTTAAAGTCCTCAGGAAAATTATTTCAAATCAAATGAGTTGGACAACAACGAAAACACTCAGAGTCTAAAAATCAGATTTCCTGAGGGAATCAAGGTGAACTGGCAGCAGTGGTGAAGGCATGCCTGTGTGTATCAGAACAGCAGCAATGGCAAATGGAAACAAAATAAAGGGTACATGTGGCTTAAAGTAGGCAGAAGAAATGAATTCTTATTGTTATCATGATTGTATTTATCACGTAAGGACCACAAAAGTTGCAAAGACCTTTACTTCAAACAGGAAGAGAGGTTTGATATTTTGTTGCAGAAAACTTCCAAGGTGACATGGATAGAGGCTTCAGAAGAAAGATGTTCCTGGTGATGTAGCCTCAGACCTTCCAGATGCCCCAACATAATGCAGAAGAGGCGTGTTTCCTGCCCTTGACAACCTCATGGATGTGGGCAACACAGCAGCCTCCAAGACCTATAGAAGATGCATGTCTGCCCTGAAGGCCGAGGCTAAGACACACACTCCTTGCTTGGAGATGTGAGCTGGCTGCGAGGACTCCTAGAGCACAGTGGGCCCTGATTGTTTTCACCACCTACATTTGCAGTCACTGTGTTTCAGAAATGAATCTGTGGTCTCTTTCTACCCAAAGGACAGCTGATGTCCAAATCTACCTCTTTCCTAGGAAAAGTGAGGAGCAAAGAGAGACAAAAAGTAAGGGTCTCTTGGAGCTGCAAAGAGAAAGAAGGATGAGGTTTGTGAACAGGAAGGAGGCGACCGTGCCACGCTGTGGCTAAGCTGCTGGCACAGAGATACACGGCCGAGTCCTGCTGCTCTGTTCGCTGGATCGTCAGAGTGGAGACAGATCCCTCATGCCTCTCTGCAGAGAATCGATCATTGGGCAGCCCTGATTTGTCTGGTTGAGCTTGATAATTGAAGTAAGTCAGAAACTCTGGGCCCTGCCCCAGGGCCTGTTGGTACCAATAGAGGGCTGCATGACCCGAAATTGGATCACACCTCAGAGCTACATCCTGTCCCTTCTTTATTACTTTGTACCTAGGAGACTGGGAGACTCCAGCACCTGTATGATCTGTGGAAATAGAATTTGGCAACAGAATAAGGAAAACATTTGTAGTCATCACTCACACACAGACACACACACGCACACACACACGCACACACGCACACACACACCCCTACATACAGGAAAAAAAATGAAACTACTTTGTGTTCTGAGGACTCACCTGTCCCTAGGAAACCCAGGACCACCCAGCAGAGGAGCCTGGTGCCCATGGCAGGGTCGGGCCAGGACGGGGGCGTTACCAGATCAGTGTCACTGTGAGCAGGAGCAGAGGATGACGGACATCCTTGTCCCCACAGAGCAGTTCCCACAGTGACATCACTTCCTCTCTCAATCCCCAGGAACTCAGGGTCACAGCATTTATACTAGAACACACTTGGGTGACACTTTAAATATTTATAACCTCCGTTTTAACAATATCAATGTATGGCTCATTGTTTTGGGCTCCAGAGCTGTCTGTACCCAGGGGCCTCACACTGCATCTCTGAGTTCATCTTCTCATCCTACAGCCGCTCCTCTGTCTGCTGGGCATGTCCTGTAGGATGCACCAACACTGCCCCTAACATAGGGCACAAAGAGGTGAGCTCATTGTCTTTCCTGCAAAACAGGATCCCCTCTGCCATCCCCATTCATGCCCCAGACTCCTCCATTCCCCCAGTCACTGGTGCCCAATGGGACTGTCACATCACATGGGTTCCCTCATGAACTGCCCTCATGCCTTTCTTCTGGGATCACTTCCCACCTTTGTTAACTGTAACTCAGAAAAAATACCCATAGAAAATCATCTCAAGCATAGAGTGACTTACTAACGCTCATCTATTCCATGCCCTGGACTGGGTAACTGGAAACTTCCATATGAAAAACACCAGGACCTAAAAAGTTCTAGCATCTAAGATTTGTTTTAGCACTGTCCAATTTAAGACACTGATGGAAGAAAAGTACTCAGTTTACTGTTTAGGTCCAATTTATACAAATGAAATTAACATTCTTTACTCTGAAATCATATGTTCTCCTTTGAGTAAGTTAAAAGGTCACACAAATCATGAATTAAACCTACCAGGCTAGACTGGGCCAAGAGAAGACAGAGCTTTTTTCTGGAAAGTCTGTTTCTGGGGTTAGTCAATGTGGTGCTGGAAGAAGGCTGGCATGCGAAGTATTTTTCCTTGTTGGAAGATGCTGGGATGTGTAATATCCTGGGTACTCAGCTGATCTGGGAGGAAGGGTGGTTAGGCATGTAATATGAGGGACCAATTGTCGTCAGCAGGATTGTCCTGGGAAATTGTCTTTCAACCATCTGAGACATGTTTTGGGCTCTTTGGCCCTTTCTGCTCTGTCCTGTTTGGGCGCCAGGTCTCTACATGGAGAGAAGGCATCTCTACCACACAGTATTCTTGCCATCTTCACAGAAATGCAGGGCAATTTCTGCAGAACTGAGGATTTCACTTTGGGTTTGCCATCAAATCATTGAGCTGATCAGCTACAAATTCATGAAGCACATTTCTCATACTGCAGAGCTCAAAGAGAGACCAGAGCGCTTGCTTTGGTTATAAAAGAACTGGATCCAGGAAGGCAGCAAGACATGAGATTCCCTCCCACTCCACAGGTCGCTACACTTCCCAAGAGGTGAGCTTCCCTCCCTCTCCACAGGTCGCTGCACTCTGAGCAGGAGTCTGATGTCCCAGCAACACCAGCAGGACGGAAGCTCAGGAAGGAAACAGAAGCAGGAGGCAGAGCCCTGCCTCTGGGTGGAGATTTCAGGCACAGGATTAAAAGAAAAGTTAGTAGCCAGTGTCTGGAATATCTACATACAAATTGTGTCCACATTCACCTGAGCAGCACAGGTGTCGCCCAGAGAGGAGTCCACGGACCATGGAAGGTTGAGACAGTTGTCGATTTGGTGCCTAATCTGGGAGAATCCCTCCTATGCTGGATTGTATTAAGTCAACTTTGCAAAGGTAAGAGTCTGACTTTCCCACAATGCCATTTCTCTTATCATTCTGGGTTAGAGATGGTCAAAGATAAATTTGGTAAAATTTAGAAGATGGATATAAAACAGTCACTATAACAATCGGCAGGTCATTGTGGTCAGACAATGAGAGTTAGTGACCATCAGATACAGAGGCATCCAACAGACCTTGGAAGTCCTGTTCCTTCTGCACTCTGTGTCCAGTTCATCTGGCCAACAGCAGCCAGGCTGCCCCCGGTATTTGGCAGTGCACCTGCAGGGGTGGCCCCCACACAGAGGGAACAGCTTCCCCAGAAGCAGGTTTCCTTGGCCTTTTCCTGTTCTCCCAGCTCAAGATCCCACTGCATGGCCTGGCATGCTCTGATCCTCTCATGTCCCTGCCACTCCAGCCTGTCCTGCCCAGACCTCCAGAAGCCATGGCTACTGACTGGCTCCTTCACCTTCTGACTTCTCTCCTCAAGACCTTGTCTTCCTCAGCAAACCCCACATATGCATAAAGTCTAATTCTGATCATAAATCTGTTACACTCTCAAACTTGTAGTAGCCCTGTTTTATTGATGCAAACATAATGGAGATTTTCTTACCAGATGTGGTTTCAAGGAACAACCTTTAAGGATGGAATTATAGAGGTAGATCTCTGATCTGTCTTGATTTGTTGTGGGGAAAGACCCCGAAGGAGAGCACAGAGACCTGGAGGAGGTCAGGTGCTGCAGCCACAAGAGGAAGCCTTGAGCCAGGTATGGACGCCATGATAGTGATTCCCCATCAATTTCCAAGACTGACCTGAGCCCAGCAATCAAAGGGGTGGGCTTTCTTATACTTAATGCTAGATCTCTACCAGGTTACAGTAGATGTAGTGTGTGCCTACTATTGGTTCATCCACCCACTCATCACCCACTCAGCCTGTCATTCACTCATCCATTCTCTGTGAAATGGGTCTCCCCACATGCCAGGCACCGATGTTGGTAAATGCAGCAGGCACAGCCTTAGCTCTCATGGGCTAAAAAATTAAGTGCAGAGACCGGTCGTGGTGGCTCACGCCTGTAATCCCAGCACTTTGAGAGACGGGGGATCGTGAAGTCATGGGATCGAAACCATCCTGGCCAACATGGTGAAACACTATCTCTACTAAAAATACAAACAAGAATTAGCTGGGCATGATGACACATGCCTGTAATCCCAGCTACCTGGGAGGCTGAGGCAGGAGAATCACTTGAATCAGAGTATCAGAGTTTTCAGTGAGCAGAGCTCATGCCACTGCACTCCAGCCTGGCAACAGAGTGAGACTTTGTCTAAATAAAAAAAAAAAAAAATTGGGGGGAGCACAAAAATAATCAGAACAAGTATCTGAGAAAGCCCAAGTGTGCTAAATTTTACTAACAGACACATGATTCTATGAGAGCTTATGAGAGGAAAGTTGATCTCAGCTGGGAGGGGAGGGAGTGCTTCCCGCAGGAGGGCTGATCATGCTGAGATCTGAAGCACAGGTAGGAGCTGGCCACTAGATAAAGGAAGGCTCCAGCCCAGGGCAGAGGAAATGGCCTTTGAAGTCTTTGTGATGGGAAGGAAGGAGTCACAGAAGAGGGGTTCCCCCCATGACTGCAGTAGAGAGGGGCGGGGAGGTGGCAGGTGGAAGATGACTGCTGAGATGGGAAAGGTGGGCCATAGGAGGGTGGGGAGTAGGGGAAACCCTAGAGACAGGAAGCAACATGGTCACCAGGGAGAGATGGGAGTCTAGATGGATGTGAAATACAAATCCTGTTTCATCCTGGGGGCCTCAGACTCAGGATGATGAGTTGAAAAGTAGGAGCTGAGGGAGCCCTAGCCCAACCCCTAAAGGAGAGCTCGGAGGATAGACCAGAGAGAGCAACAAAGGAGACATCTGAGGACCTGGGATCAGCCCAGGCCTGGCTGAGACTGCCTGCAGAGGCACCTGGCACAGAGCGAGGTTCATACTATCTGGGCCAGTTGGGGCCACTTGGGGTTCCAAGGTTCCTGTTCCAGAAAACTCTGCCCAGGTCATCCCTGAGTCTTGGGTGGGGGAGGAGGGCAGAGCCTCCCTGCTTTCATGTGTGGAGAGGAGACAGCCTTGTAACGCTGTGGAGTAACTGCTGGCACAAAAGTACACAGATGTCTGGGAGGGAGCAGCCGACTCCAGCCTGAGCAGGAAATCCTCTGTGTTTATTCTGGAGACATTGTAGCCATTGGGGACTTCTCCTTTGGTAGTGATACCAGCAGTAACTGAGTAATAAATCAGTCTCAGCCCCATGCCTGGGTCTTGTCGATACCAGAACATGTAGTCATGTTTCATATCCTGGGCACACTGCACTATCATGCTCTGTCCTGTCTTCAGGACCTGGAATTTTGGGGTCTGAGTGACATCAGCATTCACTGGACCTGCAGAGAAGAACAAAGCTGATGCTGCAGCCCCAGTGGAAAGGGGCTGGGCCGTGAAATCCACACAAGGGTCCCTGCCCAGGACCCACCTGTCCACAGGAGAGAAAAGGCCACACAACACAGAAGCTCAATGCTCATGGCAGGTGCTACAGGACAGAGGGGTCTTCTGGGTCTGTGTGTTAATAAAAGGGCAACAGGACTCTCAAGGGAGTCATTCTGAGATGTCATTCTCCCTGCCTGGGCCCCAGAGCCTTCTTGTCAGGAGAGACCACGCCCATTCCCCAGATGGTCAAATTCAAGATAAATGCACCAGTGAACAGCTGAGAATGAGAAGGACACATTTGTCTGAATTGAATCAAGTCTACAAGATTTTCATGACTTTTTGTGGACAGTTTGTAATTCAATGTCAATTTTATTTCTTCAATAATATAAGACATAGCCTGGTGTTAGTTACCTATGTAGTGCTGCAGTCTAGAGTCTTAGGGAAACTCCTCATGTCTTCCTGGTGTTTTTGACTCCTGTGTCCCAAATATTCCTTCAAGTATCCTTTTCTAATTTGCTTAATTGACCATAATCCTGTTTAAAATCCTTTGTCTATATTGGTTTTCTCTGTTATCAAGTTTCCAAATCCTAGGAGCAGGCTCATCAACATTGGACAAGTTTTGGTCTGTTTCTTCTCAATTCACTGAAAGATGGGACTCCTGACAAACCCAGGTGAGCACCTTCAGCTCTACCCAGGGCTCTTGCTTTCCATGTCTGGGGTGAGACCGCAGCAGACAGAACCACCTCACGCTGCTGACTGCCCTCTCTGTGTGGATGATGGTGACCACCCAGTGCTGCCCATGATCTGTGGGTACAAAGGTGGCCTGATGCATGAGGGACTTGGGGAGAGAGGTCCGACTTTAAGGTAAGGAAGAATGCTCTGTTTTTATGTGAGATGCCATCTTTCATAGGGAATATCCCTTTGTGCAGGGTTACCGCCATTAATTTAGTAATAAATAAATTTTAGTAATAAAAAAGAGCTCTAATAACCTATCTCGTGATTCCTTCAGGGTTTCACAAGTTTTCCCTGGGGGTTCTCCTTGTCTATTTTCTGAGCTCATCATCTTCTCCTAGACCCAGCCAACACCCTTCCCCCAGGTCCCTCTGTCTACTGAACCAAGCTGCAGGAATTGATTCCTTCTGGCTACCCTCATTTCCATGGTTGCTCAATTATGGGTGGGGTGGTTTGGGATGGCACAGAGCAAAACAACCTCAAGGGCGTTATTCTTCCTAGGGCTCTGATTCACTCTCAGAACTATATGCTTCATGGTAGAACCTCATGGTACTCATCACATGTGGATCAACAACTCCCTATCCTCACCTCTCAGCTTACCACCAAGTCAGAGACTCTTAGAGTAGAAAAGGCCTTAGAAATAATCTTATTTCCATTTCCAGGTGTGTTTTGTAAGGTGAACTTGTTACTAACACAGCAATTTGTCCTTAATTTCCAAAGAAATTACTCCCTCAGGTGTGCATCTGTGCTGAGACCTAAAAAATCCATTAGGAGAAGGAGAGTAGCATCACAGCTTCACAGCTTAGAATTTGATATTACATGTCCTTTGTCTTGGACATCCTGCGGCCACTCTGCCATGTTCCCAACTGACCCTCCCCACTGCCTGTGCTTCCTTCTCTGCTTATTCAAAGAAAGTAAGATCCTCCTACTTTTAGAATGCAGGAACATTTACCAATTTCTGCTCCATAAAAGTCTCTCTTTGAACTCTGAGATATTTATTAAACAAACTGACTCCATTGGCCGTGCCATTTTTTGTTTTGCCAACAGTCTTCATAAGGTAAAGGTGATGTACTGATGTTTACTTAACCTTGAAAATAAATTATCCCACCTTCTAACTACTTACAAAGCAAAACTGACTAAAATCAGATGGGATTCTAGTTAATATTGTTTTCCTCTACATTTCACATATAGGAAGTGACCACTTAGTTGGTTCTCCTCCCTCCCTCATTTTAACAACAGCTCCTCACAGAGCTCCCTGGCCTAGTTTATCTACATCAGAGTCTCTGCTACATCTTGTGATGGGAATAGTTTTATCAAAGCTCAGATCTTCTGGTTCCAGGCCACTAATCGCTTACCCACTCTAGTACCTCCCCACTGCCAACACCATGATGCATGTACCTGCAGTGCTGTAGGGTACACAGAGTCTCTTAACCCTGGTGTCTGATCTAAAGACAACCCCAGATGGTTCTAGACTTCCCCTCCCTCAGACTCCAGTGACACATCTATCAATTCCACATGGAAGCAAGACAACTGCCCTCCATCTGGCTCCACCATTTATTAGCTCTGAGACCATGGGCAAAGCTATTTGTTAACGTTCCTGGACTCTATCCTCATCTAGAATCATCTATAAAACAAGACATTCCTCTCAATGCTTTACACACATGAACTGAGATACTGTGTAGCATCTTGTAGGTTTGATAAAAGTCTATCCTTTTATCCCTTCCTGTCTCCTCATGCAGGAGAAACCAATGGAGCTCTCACACTGGCCCTGCTAGGACTATGAGTGATGGAAAAGCTGGAATCATCAGCTGAGTGCTGGGGTGAGGAGAACCTGGAAGCGTAAAGATACCATTCGGTCACTTTAGAAAAGATGTGGCAGAATTTAGGAATCAGGCAACAGAGCGCGAGTGTACCTGTCTACCCTCATTATGCAAAGTGAAGCAGCTAATAGAGCAAGTTAGATCTATATCAACCAATCTGGAACAATAAAGACCAAGGTATATTAACAGAAGAGTATGCACGTGGCAGGTAAAGTGTACAGGTGAACCCATTTTCTGTAGGTGTACTTGAGTAGAAAGTTATGCATGAACACAGAAAAGAGGGGTGAAAGGAAGCAAACCAGAGTGTTAATATTCATTACCAATGGAAGGTGGGATTGGGTTCGAAAGCATTATTGACATTTTCGTTACATATATATTATTTAATTTGGTTATTAAAAAATCTTAACCACATGCAAGCTTTAAGTTTACACGTTTCATCAGGTGTCAGAATTTGTAGTGTCTAAATGGACAAAGTACAGAAAGCTTCTGTCTATGGAACCTCCTATAAAAGCCCATTTATTTTTTGTAATAAACTGAGGATAAAGTGTGCTCTGTAAAAACACACGAGCTCCTGGTGAACACAGCCAGTCTCTGATTGCTGAGGAGGGTGAGCATCGAGGTCGATACATTTGATGGTGAGGTCAGTTTGTGCTGATTATGAACTAATAAGGCTTCTACCTCTGAAAGCCTGATCACCACGGGGAAATGGGGGATCTCACTCCTTGTTCTAGAATAGGTTCGAATAGCCCCCTGATTGGAAAAGAAAGAGAAATGAGCACCCTCTAGTGCCTGCATTTCCAAACTCAGTGAGAGCTTGTTTCCAGTTACACATTGTTCAAGCTTTAGAAATGCTCTTTGTTTCTGATCCAAGTAGCAGTATTATTACGATGTCGATTGTAATGATATTCCAGCATTTATCAACAGCACACAGCTTTCTCAAATACAGCTTTAGTGAGTGGGTGGAAGAAAATGCTTTCCTTAGGGAAGATTTTCTGACTTTGGTCTGTTTAAGATTCAATTATTAAAAATAGCTAGTCTATTTTTGGTCTTTATTGCCTAAAGAGTTAAAACTGCATTCGTCTTTAAAGCATTAATGTAAATCATTCTGGCAAAATTGGGGCTTCAGTCTATCTGTGAGCCATCCTTAGTGATTGCATATTGGATTATTTCCACCCAGAATGGCTCTCACAATTCTTCAGGGACTAACACATAGCCCCGCTCTGTAAATGGAGCCTCTGTCTCACAACCAGCCTTTTCTGACTGGCAAAGGAGGGGAACAAGCAAAGGTCTCTGCTAAGCGCCCTGCACCAAAACCAGGTGTGGGCTGGAGGAAGCTGGTGACCATGAGCTCTGTGTCTCTGGCATTGCCCACCAATTCATGGAAATGGACACCCATAATATGGCTCAGTGTATCAGGCACCATGGCCTCAAAGTCACCCAAAGAGATATTTGTGCCTTAAGAAAACTCTCCCTAAGAGAATGGGGAAGTCATTTGTTTTCTTCTCCATCACCTTTTAATGCCAGTGTTTGACATTATGTTTCTAATCACTCTCTCAGAGTGATTAGGTGCCCTGTGTCTGTGAGACTCCCAATTCCAGGACACCTGTGAGGGAAGGAGATTGAAGGAGGAGACTAGGGAGGAGGGCGATGGGCAGATAGGAAATTCAGTCATGTAGAAAGGCTTGGGATCCAGTGACTCATCCATGACAGGGATTTCTCATGTTTCCAGGACTCATTTGATCCTAGGAGATGAAGGGATAGAGGTTCCCATTTAATGTTTCCAGACATCTATGTGGGAACTCAGAGGGCCTTTCAATATCTGTTCTTTATTCTTTCAAGACTGGTCAGTGGCACCTGGAACCGTTGTTGGTACTGATAATAAAATGGGGAACAAAACATCCACAATTTGTAAAATGATGCATTTTACAGTCTAGAATGCAAGAGAAGTGTCAATTAAATTGCCACACAAAGTCAGGGAAAATGACTATGGTGCTAAATCTAAGAATATTAATGCATATCATAAGCTGTGAGCATTTACAATAAGGAGGTGCAGCCTAGGAAAACTGTTGAAAGAGTATCTCCCTAGAGATGGTGGTAGCTAAACTGAGATTTGGAGAAAGAACAAAAAAGAAGAGACTTGTGTTGACACAGAGAATACAGCACGGAGTGGAAAGGCCTTTGGTGGGAGGAGCATGACGCATGAGGAATGGCCTGAACTGAGGCAGCTGTGGTTGAAGTGGAGGTGAGGGTGCAGAGGAAGGGAGAGGACAGCTGGGAGCAGACATCATGTTGAGGAGGCTGAGGACTGACATGAGCATGGTGTGGGGAAGATGGAGTTGTGAAGGCCGACAGGGAAAGAACATAGACCTGTATTGTCAATGCTGTCTGCAAATATACAATTTCAAAGGAACTTTCCTTTCTGAGAGCAACTGAGGAACAGGACTTCTGACGCCAGAGCCGTAGGAGGGGCCTGGAAGAGAGACTGCCTCCTCTCACATCACAGTGATGTGCATTCCGTAGTCCAGCTGAGACTGGCTTGGGAGAGAAGTTCAGCACTGAGCAGTTTCCTATACACAGGACTGCTCCGAAATCTGAAGGCCCTAGCCTTGTAGGTGTTGGGGAAACTCCTATGGGACAACGTCTTCATGAGATCATGGTCTCATGAAGACAAGGCCACCTATATCTTCCACTGAGCTTTGTGTGCAGAGGAAGGTGGCTGTGGGTTGAAGGCTGGTGCAAGAGGGCACAAAGGTCTGGGAGAGGCTTCTGACACCAAGGCCACATATTTGGCTTTGAGAGAAAGTTACAGACCCTCAGGGATTTCTCTGTAGTGCGGGCTGGGACGGATCAGCTGTACACCAGCTTCGGCTCCTATTAACTCCCACACATGTAGTCATGGATGGCAGTCTCAGGCATCTCTGTGCCACTTCATGTCCTGTATTTGTTCTCTGGTACCTTGGGAACTAGTTGTCCCAGCTTCTGTGAAGTTTATGATAGAAGGAAGTTGAATGTCCAAGGAGGGACCCCAATAATGTAGACCTGAAGTAAAGGCTTAGGCTAAGGTGTGGTGGGCCAAGGAAAAGTCTTTAAAGGACTCACCTGCCCCCAAGAGGCAAAAGGCCACACCACTGAGGAGTCTGGTGGCCATGGCAGGGTCAGGAGAAAAATGAGGAAATTGTGGAGAGGGTTTTCAGCTTGTGCGCTGTGGACATAATTCGTGGATGTCAGGAGAGTCAATTGATGATGCCGCTGCCCCGGCCAGCCAGTGACTCTGCCCTCTGCCTGCTATTCCTCCCTCTACCTGCTGCAACCTTCAACCTACAGTACAGCCATAAACCTTCACCCATGTGGTCCCTGCTCCTGGCTGTCTTTCTTCTACAAGACAATAGACTGACAAGGTTCATGCTCATTTGCCCTCCACCTGCCTCTCCACCGTCAGCTCAGGGTGTCCAATTTAAGGACAGGCTATTGTTTCTTCACAGAACATATGTACTTCCCTCCCATTTCTAGGTCTCTATCTTGTTTCTCACATGAGATATATTTCAGGTATATTTATTCTTAGTGGTGAAAATCCAAACTTAAATTTTAGTAGAATAAATTGAGAAAAATATCCTTAGATGTTTATATGAGAAAGCGGTTTTTGTCTATACAAAAACAAAATTGTTTCTAGTTTTTGTTGCGTTAAACTCTTGTGCATCAAAAAACTCCATAAAAATGAAAATATAAGCTGCAGACTGAGGAAAGACAAAGGGAATGCATATAAATGATTGTTAAAAAGTGTGAAATTTAACATTCCTCAAAGTTGCTAATGAGGAGGCCATAGTAATGACCCCTGAAGATATCTGAGACTCTACTGCCGCCCTGCTGGTCACTAGAGGACAGTGTGAGGGCTCTGACTTACTGACCAGGATGCAGAAGGTGATGACGGAGCAGAGGGGTAGGTGGAAAATGTATGGACTAGTTTGTTTCCTACTTCTGGTCCTTACAAGCCAGGAGACACTGGGGAAAATGACTCAATGTCCCTGAGCCTCCCATCTGTAAAGGAAGAATAAGAATGTTTGATGTGCAAGACTGTTGAAAGGCATTAAGCTATATAACAAATACAAAGAATCAAGCACACATCTGGGACTCCGCAGTCACTCTTGTTCTGAAGTTACCCAGGAAGTGACAAGTTGCAAGAGGATACAGTAGAGAAGCGGGCACACTGAGGGCACAGGAAACCTGGGCTCTGTTGGTTGGGAGAGCTCTGTGCTCAGTAGGACAGAAGACATGCCTTCCAAACAACTAAAAGCTTCCCTTGAAGGAGTGAAAGCTGGGTGCGGCCTGCAGCTCTCAAGTCAAAGCTGAGGCAGGAAGTTTACATACAGAATGTCAGTGACTCTGCCGGGCTGTGCCAAGCTGCTGGCGCAGAGATACAGGGCCAAGTCCCCCAGCAACAAGGCGCTCACATTCAGCTCAGAGCTATAGTTAGGGAACTGGCGACCTGAGAATCGATCAGGGAAGTTGCCTCTGACTCTCTCTTCCTTCTCATAATACTGAAAGATAAATTGGGGCCCCTGACCCAGGGCCTGTTGGTACCAGGACACACTGGTGTGCCCAGATATAGGAGAGCATCTCAGAGTCACTTGCTGTCCTCTCGTTTTGATCAGGTGTGTGGGACTTTGGGTGACTCCAGTGTCCACTGGGCCTGTGGGAAAAGGAGATGGAGGATGAGCCAGGAGACAGCCTGGAGGTCCTCCCCAAGGTAAAGTGGAGGACACAGGGGTGGGAAAGCTGAGAATGGGGTTGCTGTCCTGTGCACAGGACTCACCTGCTCCCAGGAGACAAAGCAGCGCCCAGCAGAGGAGCCCGGGGCCCATGGCACAGTGGGGCAGGCAGCACTGCACCTGACGCAGCGCTTGGTCCTCCTGGGGAAGAGCTGAGCGAGTTCTGGTCCTTGATTTTCCTGATGGGAGGCATAGCCTGTGATGTCACTGTCCTGTGTCCTCCCCATGCAGCCTGCCTTAGGTCTAGTGCTCCACAGACGCTGTGCTCTTTACCTGTCCTGCAGAGCTAGAGGGATGGGTGAAGGCAGAAGCTTCTGCGATGATACAGTTGCTCCTCTGCCTACACTGCCCCAGCTCACAGGCTGCCCAATTGCCCTATCACCGTCCTCTGACCTAGTACTGTGGTGCTCCATGCTGGAGCTCACACACCTGCCCATCAGCAGAGGGTGAGGAGCGTGTGATTAAACCTCAGGTTCCAGCTCTTCCTGGCTGTCCTCACAACATCTTTCTGATGCTAGATTCACTCCAATGTTTCTTATTATATTTTCTTGTCCCAGACAACATTCCCAGCCCCTTTCGTCAGTGGCCAGTGGTGCAGAGTCTCCATGATTTAGTCTGTCTGATCATATCCAAAGCAGACCTGGGTTATCTGTAAATTATTTAAGAGTACAGATTCCCCAGAAATAATTATAGGACTTTAACAGCTCACAGCATAGAGTTTGGCATGTGGGAGACAGGACAGCAGAGGGAGGTAGGGTCACCATCTGTGCTGGTTTGCAAAATCTATTCCCATGGCTCCCTTCTTGCTGGGTTAAATTTCCTGGTGGCTAAAAGTAGTCACACAGTAGCCTGAATGCTTTGCCGCTTAGATATTTCTTTCAGCAGATATACTAGCAAATGGCTCATCATTTCTATATTCCATAAAGTTCTAGAACAGGACACATCTTTGCCAAGGTTTTTGCTACTTATAACAAGGATGGCATTTGCTTCAATTTCCGATACCTTGTTCCTCATTTACCCCTGAGCCTTCACCAGAAGTGCCCTTTATGCTCTGTTTTCAGGAATCTTGGCTTTTGCTAGTCTGCTCCTCCCAGTTCTTTCAACCTCTATCCATTAGCCACTTCCCATTAACCAAAGCTGCTTCTACATTTTCAGAAATTATATCAACGGCATCACTCTCAGTACCATATTTTCTTTCAATTTCTTTCCTACTGCTATAGAGAAACACTATGGACTGGGCAATTTACCAAGACAAGAGGTTTATTTGGCCTATAGATATGGAGACTGGGAAGTCCAAGATCAAAGGGCCATAACTGATGAGGGCCTCCTGCTGTTATCCAAGGCAGAAGGAAGGGGAAGCAAGCACCAAAATCAGAGAAAACGGCTGAATTCACCCTTTTTATCAGAAGACCATTCCCAAGACCACTAATTCACTCCTACAATAAGGGCATTGATCTTTTTCTGAGGGCAGATCCCTCCTGACCTAGTTATAGCTGTCATAATTCCAATACCATTACACTGACAAGTTTCAACATGAGCTTCTGTGGAGACACACAAGCATAGCACACACATCTACACTAAGAGTCATTATTTCCACTCTTAAGTCTATATATTTAAAAAAAAAAGAAAAAAAGAATGCATATGCTCACAGGAAAGAATCCCACAATATGTTCACAACAACTTCATTCCTAATAGTTGAAGACAGGAGTAATATGGATCTCCATCAACAGGAGCGTGGATCAACAAGCTGTGGTGTATTTATGCCATGGAATATTAGTCTTAAGAAAGAATGACCTACTGATACAACAGTATGAATACACTTCAGAAATACTAATTCTGGAGAAAAACAACTCAATAAAAATATGATTTCATTATATGAAGCTCAAGAATAGACAAAGCTACTCAATAGTGATAAAAATAGAAAAGTTTTTATCCCTAAGATAGAAATTGATTGGAAAAGAGCATGAGGACACTTTCTTGAATGATGGAAATTTTTTTTAAATAATCATTTCAGTTACTATTGCACTGGCATATGCATTTGTCAAAATGTATGAGGATGTCCTTGTATTAACATTTGTGTTTTACTCTCTATTAATTATACCTTAATAAAAAGTATTACTAAAAATTAAACAGCTAAATTGCATAAAAGAGGGGAGTCATATACAAATGTATGCTTGTATTCTGCACAGCCCAATTTAAAAATGAATCACACAAAAATAAGAAAAGACAGGAACACACCTATCTGTGTAAGATATGGAGAATGTGAGAAGTGCTCAGTGACTGAAATAGGCAACATTGAAATTTGGCAACAAAATAAGCTCAAGTGACGAGTGGGCTGAAAAATGAGTGAGGATCAATATCAAGGAAAGCTGTAGACAAACAAAAACTTTCTAAAAATATCTTCATATGCTGTTGAAATCACTCTGAGAACCCTGAGCTGCTATACATTTCATAACTTGGGAAAGTGGGCATTCATCAGTCTCACAATTGAGCCTTTCCTTTCTTTTTGCCTTTCAACAGATTGGCCAATTGATGAACTGACTTTTTGACCAGCAAGTAGCCTGCTCCCCTCTTTGCAAGTGGGATCCTGGGTGACCCAGGCCTCCCCCTTTGGCAGCCTCACAGAGGGGAGCTGGGCACAGCACAGACACACGGGTTCTGTCCACGGGGGGTTTGCACTCCCTGTGAAGCCCAGCTATGGACCTCCCAGTCCTGCAGTTAATGGATCCCAACTAAAGAAACCTTACCTCTAAGTGTCCGCTTTACTTGTAAGTGCTAAAGAGAGATACAGGCTGGAGAAAAATAAAATGTTTGCTCAATATTATTCTGTAATATTTTACAAGAAAATCAATTGAGAAATTCATGCATTTTCATCCAAGGCAATGTCATGAGGATAATAGCTGAATTCCTTCCTTAATCTATCCGGAGAAGACGCAAACACTGCTCTATGCCCACAAATACTTTAGTAGAGACTTATTTGTAGTCTATTTTCGATAATTCTACTAGTCAATTATCTTCAGGTCCAACGGCACAGTTTGATTCATCTACTAACATTTTCCTTCAGTAGTCTGTTTACTTAGGTGTTTTAGAACTTGTTCTCAATATTTTTTGCTCTCCGGAGAACACATACTTGGTGTCCAACGGATTCTCAGCCAAGGTGATGTTACGACTTATAAACTTGCAGAATCCCAGATCACTCAAGCACGTTAAAGCTGTTGCCTGGTGAGACCTGCAGGGAAGATGAGGTGCAGCAGAGATGCACTGGGCTCAGGGCACAGCCTGCCCCTAGCTTTCCAATGTTCCTCTGAGACATTTGCTCCCCTGCACCTGCCCCTGATACCAAGGCTGCCCAGCAAAAATTCTTCAACTGTATTTGTCATTAAAGATTAGAGGGACTTCCCGACTCTTGCACAGCTGTAGTTAGCCTAGCAATAACTGAAAACTGCTACAACATCTGCCCATCCAAGCCCTAATTTTTCTAAACCCTTTCCCTCATAGACTGCTCTCCCAGATTCCCCAGAGCCCTTTCGATCTCAGCGGACCACCATGCCATCTTGTGGCCAATAAGTGAAGTTTCATCATTGTTTCTTCTGCAATGGCCCAAGGAATGCTGGGAAGTGTCTGCAGAGTGAGCTGCCAGAATATTCCAGAAGTGCCATCCCGCACATTTTATGAGCAGCTTCCCTAAACCCTCATCCCAACACTAGTTCTAACCCTGATTATTGCATTGAGTTACCAATCTTAATATCCCATCCTCATTCTGAATAACTCTTATCACATAGCTCCAGTTATAGTCTAACTTTTTCTCCCTTAAAACTACCATCTAAAGAAAGAGGAACAGAATGAGAGGAATGAAAGGAAGTAGTATTTGGTTTTATATAGTGAGAAAACACGGACGCTGAAGCACAAAGAGATTATTTAATCTGAATCACTAAAGATAAACAAAAACGTCCTCCAAAAGTGACAATGTTACCCCAAAAGTATAGATCAGCAAAAGATGAAGTCAAATGTCTATTAATGAAAAGTAAAATTGAAATATATAAAATGAGACCTCTTACAAGGCAATAAGCAATGGTGGCGGGAGCCATACCTAATGCAGAAAATAAGGATGGATATAGCTAAGACTAGCAAAGTGGCTGCTACAGGAAATGATCACCACGTAAAATGCACACCCATTGACCTGAGCACCAAACACGGAAGAGATGATTCTGGAAGAGGCAGAGGAGCAGCGGGAGATGAGGACTCGCTGGTGCTGAATAGCATCATAAGGAAGCAAATCAGCCTGGGGACTGTGGATTAGATGACTTTGCTTTCTCCTGTTTTCTGTGACAGCTGAACTGGACCATTTTCCTCTCCAAGGATTTGTTCCTGCACCCTGAGTTAAATGCCCCTGGGACTTGTTCCTCCTCAGCTTCCCATGGATGAACTCCCTCTCCCTCCTTGTTCAGCATGGTCTGAAGGAGAGGCCATCTCTCCCTCCCCTTCAATCCCACAGTACTGGGGATTGGCACAGACCTTGCAATTGGCATTGACTTCTCATGGCATGCTCACATGCCTCCTAACTGTGCCTTTTCATTTCCACTAGACTGAAAGTTAGCTGTGGGCAATGAAAAGTAACACCTTTATCATAGAATGCACATGACTGCTCTCAAAATTATTGCTGTTTCTTTCACTGCCTTGGGTTATAGCTGAACAGGAAAAATAGGCACAATTTCTTAATGTGACTTAACCAAAAAAACCTTCCCAAGTGCCAAAAACAATATAACTACCAAGGAATTGCTCTCCTCATTGGTGAGATAGCAAAATAAAACAAACAAACAAAACAACAAAGAAAATATTGTCAAATGCTTCAGTGGAGACCTAGAATTCCAGTCCCTCTTATACAAACATTATTGTACGGCCTCCCTCTAACTAAGAGACAGGCAGAGCCATCTCTGTGCTCTGCACCTGGCAGGAAAGCTCTACTGGAGCCTGTCGGGAGCTGGCGAGGATGAGCCTTGGTGATTCCGCCCCCAGAGCAGAGATTCTCAGGGAACTCTGGACAACTTCCAGGGACTGAGATGGAGAGTGGCCATACTCAGTCTTGGAGTGGAGAATACTTAGGGTGTGATCCTTCTGACCTCTCAGCCTAAAGTAAAACCAGAGTCATTCCTGACATGTGGAACTGCTTAGTTTCCAAAGCAAAATAGTCCTTGTTATAGGGTCTGTTGGTGACACAGAAGAATAGCAGGGCTATACGTGGTTCACAACCTAGAGTTGCTGCTTGCCCATCTCTGTTCCCAATGACTCCAGCATCTAAATATTCCATGCGAGGAAAGATAATTTGTAAATAATGAACAGGTTCAGTGATACCTTTAGTTACACTCAAAATAGTTGTCATGCTCCAGACTGCCATGCTTGAAGGAGACAAAGAATTACAGAGCAAGAGAATTTGGAGGTTGAATAAAAATAGGCACAATTGAGGCCCCAGAAGATGATGGATTCTCAGAGCAAGAGTAGATAGGAGGAAAATTCTGAGTCCTTTTGGCCCCAAAAGACATGGAATTACAGGGACATCAGAAAATACTCCAGTGATGTGCTGCTAAACTGGGTGTCTGTGAAGGTGGGGGCATGGCTGGTAACATTTCCTAATTTCTGTTTTGCCAGCATCCCCACCATGGCAGACTTCAATCTCCCAGCATGGCTTCACTCAATAGGGAGCTGCAACAATTATGCCTATTTGGTTCTTCTGAGTCACAGAAGCTGACTCTAGCACATCCCTAGACTCAAGAGCAAAGCTTTCAAAGTTCTTCAATGCTTCCTACTCAACACCCTAAAAATGAGGCCACAGCAACTATAGCACACCTCCTTATTTTCATGATAGGATCAGAGTGTGTGATCCTGGGTCTTGGAATGGACAAAGGGACATTTGTGCAGAGAAAGGATTTCTGAGTCCTCTCAAGCTGCCGAGATCACAGAGCAAAGAGTTATGATGGTTGGTTGGGAGCTGCTAGCCTTTTACTTGAAGTAATTGCAATGAAATGTTTTTCTGCTTAACTTAAGAAAACAGAATGATTTCAATAAAGCAGAAACCCTATTCCTTTCTATTTGTTCATTAGTAACGTCTGCCGCTTGCTCCTCCTGCATGTTCATTCTCAGTATAAATTGGAAGCCCTGCTCGCTTTTATTACATGTTCTTGCACTACCGTTTACAACTGTGTACTGTGTTCTGTTCAGCCTCAGTGTCAGAGCTTGTCCACTGTTAGACCAGCTGTCTCAGGAGTCATGTCGAGGAAAGTGGCAGCAGTTAGAGAGAAGGTCCAGGAAGACAGGGAATTCCCATCTGTGCCCTGTCCTTAATCAGTCCCAAGAGACACAAGGCAGCTGAGCAAGGAGCGATTTCATGACCACACAAGAAAAAAAACGGGTCCAGAGCAACAGTCCACCCGTGACCATCATTCTCTGGGGAAAGAAATTTGGTGTCTCTACCACTACAATTTCTGATCAGTGAATTTGGAAGGACTATGATGCCCCTTATAGCTATGAAAGACTCAGGCACCTCTATCATGGCTGTGTCTGGGACACTGAGTCCCAGACTTAGAGAAGTGTTCTGATGCCAAGGACTCTCAGAAACCCATGATCCATAATCACATCAGCTCTGACCAGTGCGTTTGATTTCATAGATACAAACTGTAGCATCACCCACAGACAGGTGGAAGATTCTATTGCAATATAATCATTGTACTTCTATTTATAGCAAGTACTAAATAACAATATATAATGTGAAAAATAAAATAAAAAGGAATAGATTCAATATTGTAAATAAAACACTTATTGAGTTAAAGACCTTAGGAAAATTATTTCAAATCAAATGAGTTGGACAACAATGAAAACACTCAGAGTCTGAAAATCGGATTTCCTGTGCGAATCAAGGTGAACTCACAGCAGAGGTGAATGCATGCTTCTGTCTATCAGGACAGCAGCAATGGCAAGTTGAAACAAAATAAAGGATACATGTGGCTTAGGGTAGACAGAAGAAATGATGTCCTCTTGTTATCGTGTTTGCATTTATCAAGTAAGGACCATAAAAGTTGCAAAGACCTTTACTTCAAACAGGAAGAGAGGCTTGATATTCTGTTGCAGAAACTTCCAAGGTGACAGGGATAGAAGAGGCTTCAGAAGAAAGATATTCCTGGTGATGTAGCCTCAAACCTTCCAGATGCCAGATGCCAGATGCCCCAACATATGCAGAAGAGGCATGTTTCCTGCCTATGACAACCTCATGGATGTGGGCAACACCGCAGCCTCCAAGACCTATAGAAGGTACATGTCTGCCCTGAAGGCCAAGGCTAAGACTATATATGCCCTAAAGGCCAAGGGTAAGACACCCACTCCTTGCTTGGAGAAGTAAGCTGGCTCTGAGGACTCCTAGAGTGCAGTGGGCTGTGATTGTTTTCACCACCTACATTTGTATTCACTGTGTTTCAGGAATGAATCCGTGGTCTCTTTCTACCCAAAGGACAGCCGATGTCCAAATCTACTTCTTTCCTATGAAAAGTGAGAATCAAAGAGAGGCCTCTGTTAAGGGTCTCTAGTAGCTGCAAGGAGAGAGAAGGACGAGGTTTGTGAACAGGAAGGAGGTGACTGTGCCACACTGTGGCTAAGCTGCTGGCACAGAGATACACGGCCGAGTTCCCCTGCTGTGTGGGCAGGATCTTCAGAGTGGAGACGGATCCCTCAGGCCTCGCTGCAGAGAAGCGATCACTGGGCAGCCCTGATTTGTCTGGTTGAGCTTCGTAACTGAAGAAAGTCAGAATCTCTGGGCCCTGCCCCAGGGCCTTTGATACCAATAAAGGATTGCATGACCCGAAATTGGATCACACCTGAGAGCTACATCCTGGCCCCTACATCCTGTCCCCTCTCTGTGACTTTGTACCTTGGGGACTGGGAGACTCCAGTGTCTGTGTGATCTGTGGAAATAGAACCTGGCAACAGAATAAGGAAAACATTTGTAGTCATCACACACACACACACACACACACATACACACACACACACCCTTACATGCAGAAAAAAAAATGAAACTACTTTGTGTTCTGAGGACTCACCTGTCCCTAGGAAACCCAGGACCACCCAGCAGAGGAGCCTGGTGCCCATGGAAGGGTCAGGCCAGGACAGGGGCATTACCAGATCAGTGTCACTATGAGCAGGAGCAGAGGATGACGGACGTCCTTGTCCCCATAGGGCAGTTCCCACAGTGACATCACTTCCTCTCTCAATCCCCAGGACGTGAGAGTCACAACATTTATACTAGAACACACTTGGGTGAGGCTTTAAATATTTATAACCTCCGTTTTAACATCAATGCACGGCTCATCGCCCTGGGCTCCAGAGCTGTCTGTACCTGGAGGCCTCACACTGCCTCTCTGAGTTCATCTTCTCATCCCACAGCCTCTCCTCTGTCTGCTGGGCACGTCCTGTAGGATGCACCAACAGTGCCCATAACATAGGGCACAAAAGGGTAAGCTCATTGTCTTTCCTGCAAGTCAGGGTCCCCCCTGCCATCCCCATTCATGTCCCAGCCTCCTCCATTCCCCCAGTCACATGTGTCCAACGGGACTGTTCCATCACATGGGTTCCCTCAAGAACTGCCCTCATGCCTTTCTTCTGGGATCATTTCCCACCTTTGTTAACTGTGACTCAGAAAAGATACCCATAGAAAATCATCTCAGGCATAGAGTGACTTACTAACACTCATCTGTTCCATGCCCTGGACTGGTTAACAGGGAACTTCCATATGAAAAACATTAGGATCTTGGCTCATGGCAACCTCCACCTCCCAGGTTCAAGTGATTCTCCTGGCTCAGCCTCCCAAGTAGCTGTGACTACAAGTGCCCGCCACCACACCTGGCTAATGTTTATGTATTTTTAGAAGAGACAGGCTTTCACCCTATTGGCCAGGCTGGTCTCAAACTCCTGACCTTGTGATCAGCCCGCCTCGGCCTCCCAAAGTGCTACGATTGCAGACAAGAGCCACCACACCCGGTCTGACTTCACACTCTCTGCTGCTGATACCCAGGCAAACAGGGTCTGGAGTGGACCTCAAGCAATCTCCAACAGACCTACAGCTGAGGGTCCTGACTGTTAGAAGGAATATAAAAGACACCATTTGCACAGCGTATGTTTATTGTAGCCATAATTACAATATCAAAGCGTTGAATCAACCCAAATGTCGATCAGTGGATTTGGATTTGGATGGATTGGATTAAGAAAATGTGGGGCCACATATTACCCCCATGGAATATACTATTGCAGCCATAAAATAGGATGAGTTTGTGTGTCGCTTTTGTAGGGGACATGGATGCAGCTGGAACCATTATTCTTAGGCTAAATATTCACAAGAACAGACAAAACACAACACCGCGATGTTCTCATCATAGTGGGAACTGAATAATGAGATCACTTGGGACTCAGGCAAGGGGACATTTCAACACGCCTAATGGGGCCTATAATGGGAGGAGGCCCTTGACCGGTGGGGAGGAATTTGCATGGGAGGTATCGATGCCTGAGGTTAACGAGTGGACCAGGGGTTGGGGAGTGCAGCAGGCGGACCCCAAATGGCAAAAGATTAATCTTATCATATGTTAACAAACCTGCACGTTATGCATATGTCGCCCTACACTTAAAGGTTGTGGTGTGGTGTAGGAGAGAGTAAGAGAAGAAGGAGAGAAGG